GGTTTGTTAGAACGTCGATTTGTATCAACACTTAATCTCTATGAACAACCTACTTATACTTACATCCTTCAATTGAGCTAATAGTAAGTAGTCCATAAGGCTAGATACTCTCGGAACCGCTGGCTTGGCGTCAGCCGCCGCCGTCGCACGTGCCAATCCATGACGCAACAATTAACATTCGCCTTCCCATCTTTTTTTTTTTGGAGGAGCGCTTTTTTATGGTTGTTAAGTCTAAAGACAAGACAGACAACGTCGGGCGTCATCTGCTCGCCTTCCCATCTTAAAACACCATGGCATGGCGATCCAACTCTGAACTCATTGCCAACATGGCCAAGGCTCACATCTTCAACTCCGAACCAACTCCGAACGGGCGTTCAAGTACAATCAATCGGTCACTCCCTCAGGTCGTCGCCTCAAACGTACCATTTTCGAGGACTTACGAGGGAAGATAATCAACAAACAAAGTGTTCGAGAACGAGTGGAAATATTTACTGGACTTGACTTTACATCGAGAAGTAAGTTCATAACAATCCCAGGTTAACAACCTCTTTCTCGAGCCATTAAAATCTAAAGTCTAGATGCCCATTGCCTGACCACAAAAACGACCAAAAACCTTTTTTTTTCTCGGGAGACTCGGACGCAATCCCAACTCTGACCGACCCGCCCTTTTTTGTGATTGCAAGTGTGAAGGGAGGAAGATTTGCCATACCAAGCTTCTCCGCCACTTGGCCCACTCCACGAGGACGATTCAAAAGCATATACGTGACCCCACTGCCGTGAAGCGCTAGCACCACCATCGAATTAGGCCTTCCCGTTACAACGACTCGAACCTTGATTCCCGCACGCAAATCAACCAAATGCCCCTTCATGCCTCCCGTAGGGCTGTCCCATTTTGGGGCCATTTGTCGCTCTCCCCACTCAGCGAGCGTTCCTAGATCATCGTCAATTTGTCCCAGAACAAGCTCAGGTCTGCTTCCCCAGGCGAGATCGCCTTTCTGTCCATCGTTCATTCTCCCTTCGCTCAGAAACACCCAGCCATTACGCTCAAGATGCCACGTTCCGGTGATTAGGCGGAAGATGACAAAAACAATAGAAGAGAGGTACATGAGTAATCCACCAGCCTGGGCCAAGTTGGAGGAAGGATTGGCTTGGAAATTCTGTGGAATGAGTTGGAAAACCTGCGCCAAGGCAACTATGAGCAGAATAATCCCTGTTATCCAACTCGTGACGAGAAGCGCTGTCGAGATGATCTTCATCCTCATGAGAGCAGGATTGCGATACAATGCCTTGCCATCCCTTCTTGGGCTGGGATAAAGTCCAATATTTTCTGCGCCCACTATGTTGAGACAAGTAGTTTCTTCTTTTGCGACCATAGGGAAAGCAGTCACAAGAGGTTCGAGCCGCTCCTGCCCTGCCTTTGGTTCAACAGGTGGGCCAAGCCAGCCATTACCAGACTTGGGTGAGTCATTTAAACTGCAAACTGCAGCGAGGGTGGCCATATTGTAAAACCCTTGGTTAAGTTCCAACAACCATGACAAATCTGCCCATCCATCCTTGCCAGTCAAATGACGCACATGTGCTCGACGGGGCAAGAGTCCATTCAGACCCTGTGCAAGCAACTCATGGTTGCGATATTTTGTCTCCTTATCCCGTCGTATCGCTTCTACCATGAGGGCATGAATGGCAGATTGCCAAGTTTCACTCCCACTGTTATTGGACTGACGCAGAAGAGCGTGGAGATGCCATTTATTTGCTTGGGCGGCGTGATGCATCATACGTTCCCGGAAAGATTGTGCCGACTCGGAATAAAGGAAACTTGTAGATTTGGCATCCTTCCCAGGCATGGTTTTACGAGTCATCCGTTGAACCTTGTTGGCGTGGAGAATTTCTCCTAGAGTGAAAAGCCGCTGACCCCACCGACAACCGAGCGTAGTATGATCGCAACCTGTTTCTTGACAAAATACAACCACGGTATGTGCGCCTCTGAAAATGTCGGTCAGGCGGCCCAGCTCCTCTTTTCTCTCCGTACGCAACTCATCTGCATCTCGATAACTGTTTCCTTCACCTTCCTCTGAAACACAGAATTCATCAAGCCAAATAAACTCTGTACGATCCAGAGGGACTTGTCGATCCCTATTCGCAGAACAATACTCGATCAGAAGCTGTTTCGAGATACGTTTGCGATCTGCAAGTGACCACTTTTTCCCCTCTGGACTTGGATCCTCGGCGTGCTTTCCCGCTTTGGAAAACAGCTCAGAAGCAGATTCCATGTCGTAGCTGATCGCAGTATATCTGTAACTAGGTCCAACTTCGTCGGCCACCCAATTGATCTGTTTATGAGAAGTGTATTGTCCATTGCGAATCGTCACCTCCAACATCCAACGAGGTTTGTAGCTAAGGGACTCATACACATCTGGGTCCGATGTGGCCACAGGAAGAGAAATGTCGGAACCACTGTCAAGTGATTTTTCGATGAGAGGAGTGGATGGAGGTGGGTATCGCAAAACAGCATGGGGCGTGTCCAAGCGTTCGCCAAACCAATCACGTCGAACAAAGTTATAGACCGCATTGCCCAAAGCATCACCAAAAGGGATGCTGGCGAGAGGAGCGAATATCACATGGAACAGGACACGGATAACGTTCCCAAGAACATGAAAACGCTGCTCCCTGTAAGGAGCGAACCAGCCACAGCCTTTAACGCCAGGGTCTTCTCTGAAGAGGCGGGCAAGAGAAGAGCGTTTGGGGACAAAGCTACAAGCTGTGGTACCGGTCACGGTGGAGGTTGAAAGCTGAGAAAGACTGTAATAGTCTGTGTTTCGCATCATGCAAAGATTGAGGATAAGGAGGAGGTTTCTCCTTTTCTTTGTTCTTTTTTACTGTCCAGGTTGACGCCCAAGTTTCTCTCTGCATTTAGTCCTACTCAATTCGTAGAGTATTTTGTTCCAGAAAGCGTCCATTTCGCGGAGTCTCGCTCAGTATTTGCGATCAACGAAACTTGTCCCGGTCCAATCGCTTATGAGGATAATTGCCGTAATCATTCAAATTGCCGTTGCTGTATCTGTTTAGGGTATGGGACCATGATTCGGCATTAATGATTAGACAGTCCCACCAAAAAGTGTTTGTCACGGTATCGGGAGAGTCTTCAACCTGTTGGGAGTTTTGAGTTTACACCAAGAGCATTTTTATTGATTTTTTGGATGCAGAATTGCCTTACAAAAGGTCAATTCGACGAGTCCGATGGCCAAACTAGTTCATGATGAGCGCTGAAGGGGCAATTATGAAGCAACGCCATCAGCACTTAGCCACATGCTGGATAATGATAAGCGCTTGTCTTGGGCTTCCTTTTCTTCCGACAATGATACCGATATCATCCATAGGGCCGCGATCGAATTTTGTCTGAGTTGAAAGACGCCAAAAATGACTAAATATTAATATATTTTGGATACTTAGATCGCTGTCGTAAACGGGAGACACACCTTTACATGTACAACATGTACCCCCCGCACTGTCTTGCCATTGTACATCAGGACGAGTGTCGTTGTGCAATCCTACCAGACATCTCAACTTTGGACTCCGAACCTTAGCGGCACCAGTCGGATGCCCACGGCACACTCGATGCTTGTTGCGTGGGCCCCCGGCCGCATCCTGAATGGGTGTTAATCCATGCGGTCCTTGGTCGAAAGATCTTTACCAAATGATATGTGTGAGCAACAAATTGAGTAGGACTTACATAGTACATATGTATCTGTCTCTGTATCCAACTTGAAACTCAGGCACTGGCCCGGGAAGGTATAAAAATCTTGACAGCCCTGGAAACGCTTTCCACAGTCGGAGAAGGGAAGTCGCATGGCCAGAAAATTCTGGTCTCTAAATTGGAAACCGAAATCAGGACAAGGACGGTGGCGAGAGGCGTTTCAATGTGTTGGTTCGGAATACTGAAACGGGACGACCTACACAAGGAGGATGAAAAATAAACTTAAATTTGAACTTCAAGATGCAAGAATTCGTTATATCATCGTACAAGATTGTAGTAAATACAGCAGACCTTTGCTAATCAAAGCAAGAGTGCCCGGAATCTGGTCGTTCCACGTCCATTGTTCAGCTTCTTTCCTGGATGCAGCAGAGCGACCGCCTGTTCTTCCACCTCGTCCTCCACGACCTCTCCTAGCCCTGGGAGCTGCTGCAGAGTTCGCTTCACCGTCTGTTGGTTTAACTTTCTCCGCCGCCAGGACAAACCATTGCAGGAGAAAGGCATACATCTCCAGTGGCACCTTGTGCCTTTGGTAATCTTCGCCCGTATTTATATCAGCAATAGTACTATCGAATTTGGATTGTAGTCCGGAGGAAATGGAATCGAGTAGTTTGTTCATGACAGCCCCGGAGATGGTGTCAGACGACTTGAGTAGACTACAATAGGTTCCAAAGATTTCGGGGCTTGTTATGGAGTCGCTGTTCTCCGCAACAGCTTCAGCGGCCTCTACAGAAAACTTCTGATTAGGATACAAGGTCATCAAGCACTGATAATGTCGCACCTTCCAAAAGGCGATCCACGTCCTCGTTCGCGACATCGTGTTCGTGTTGAAGCTCGATGTTCGAAGGATCAGTACAAACTGTTCTACGGCATCAGCCAGCTCGAAGTTGGCGTCCATGGCGGTTGATGTAAAGGCTTAAGTTGTTGAACAAGTGTTGTAAAGCAGCGCGTCTGTCACTCACTCTCGCGAACACGTTACATATTAGAAGCACTGTGATGAAAGTCGAGAAACACTTCTACTACCGGTTCAATGCTGGCGCCAAGTGGGCTTTCAATCAGTCCGGATCCAACAACATAATACCAACTTACTTACATCGTCTGTACTGGTGCAAACCACTTCTGATTACTAGTGCCGCAGTGTGATTAAAGGAACCGGAAGTCGCTAGTCACTCAGTCCACTCCTTGTCAAAAATCTCTATAAATCGTAATCCCATCTCCCAAGTTCTTTGACCAACTCGAATCTTCGTATGCCCCCGTTGTCTAATGGTTATGACGTCAGACTTCTATGTTAAATAATCCAACAGGCGTGAAAATCTGGAGGTTGCGGGTTCGAGTCCCGCCGGGGGTTTCTGCCGAACGCTCATTCTTTTTTCCTTGTTCGAAAGAAAAACTTAGTTGCTAAAGTAGGTATATCAGAGCTTATAGAACTGAGTAACATTCACTCTGGATCCACTCAACCATCTACATCAAAACAGTAACTCGAACAATCGTCTGCATAACGGCGTTACGCACGTTTTCAGAAACAGTATGCTATATAATCCTTCTCAGTTCTCTACACGCGCAACAAAAGACCGTCGTCCCGAAAAACCATTAGAAAGGCGCGTCAAATCTATGCATATACGCACTTACATATGTACTTAGCCGGGGCGTACTACTACTGCCGTTATGGACTGGGCATTTGCTTCAGGTGACTGGTCACTGTATACGTACGCAAATTCAAGTTACTGCGATCTTTTTTTCAAAGTCCGTGACATATAACTATGTACAGCATACACTATAGCTATGTATGACATTCGTACGATTGTACGACGTAAAAAAAAAGAGGAGAGAAAATCAATGACGAGAAAAAAAGGTCCTAAGTTCCATAAACAGACTCATTACATTCAAGTAAGTACGTTCATTCAAAAAAAAGATTCACAAAGGTCCTTCCGCACTCATTCAAATCAGATCATAAATCAATACCTACCTAACCCCCACTCTCTCAAAACATCATTCCGCCAAGAACAACACTACCAAGCACCGTCATCACCGTCATCTTCACAACTTCACCCAACCCAGCACCAATAGCAAGAGCACCGTTCCCATTACCTGATCCATCACCAGATCCGTTACCAGAACCAGTACCAGAACCGGATCCAGTGTTGGGTGCAGTAGCAGTAGCGAGAGGTGCGGTCTCGGTCGTGGATTGGGCGGCAGCAGAAGTGGCTGGGAAAAGAAGAAGGGAAGGAATTGGGAGAAAGGGAAGAGTAAAGAAGGGAAGAAAACATGTTAGCGTTTCTGCATCCGACTCGATGATATGAAATAAAAAAGCGTTTGATGATCATAGAGATGTAAAGAGTTTCAAAAGAAGACCGAACGAATGAAAAACAAAAAAGATGGCAGGCCCCGATCGTCAGAGATGATGACGCATACGTTCCCAACTCAAGGAATTATATGTACCATATTGTGGGGAGACCCAAGAGAAATCAAAGAAGAGAAGGGGAGAAAGAGAACGAAGAACGAAGAGAAGAGAACACTTACGCAGATGATGCGGCACCCTGGTCACTGTCCGTGTTCAACAAAACGCCATTAATGACGTGAACGACGCCATTCTCAGTCAAAATGTCGGTCTGAACGATTTGGGCAGTCGATTGGCCGCTCGAAACGAAGGCACCGGAAGAGTTGGTGGTGAAAGTGAGATTTTCACCTTGAGACGAGGTGATGACAGTTCCGTTGAAGATCGAAGGAGAGTAGACAGTTGTGCCATTGATGATCTTAACCAAAGACGTTTAGTACCTTATTCGTAAGGAGTAATGAGTCGAGATAAGACTTACGTGGTTACCAATGACGGTGGTCAAAGCTGTTACATTGCTCGACAACGACCCCAAGCTCGAGCTGATAGCTTGAAAGGCGGTGTTATCAGGAGCGAACACAGTGATGCCTTTCTGAGACTGGACAAAGTCAATCAACGACACGTTGTTGCCGTTTGGTCCAGGCACCTGGGTGTCCAAAACACCAGCGAGAGTAGAGAGGTTGGAGTTGGCTCTGACAACATCGGAGAGAGATCGAGGAGGGGCGAGCACTTGATCAATCACGGCGAGGGTAATGGTCGAAACCTGAGTTACGTTTTGAACTTGCGTCGTTTGGCTATAGGAAGACGAAGCCCAGTTATAAGAAAAAACGAAGTCCTGTTACCCAGGGGAAGAGTGTATATACGTACTTTTGATTGAGGATGCGAACCCTGTTGTTTTCCCTAGTCCAGGCAACCACCTGACTCTTGTTACCCTCAAGTTGGACAAGATCCGAAGCATTGAGTTGGGTACGCGCAATAGTGACGTTGGGCGATTCTGAGCTAACAAGAGAACCAGCCGAGTCGGGCGAAGAGAAATTGCCCACGAGAACGTGGTAGGACAAGATGTTGGCGACATCTGCAGGCTGGGCATTCGCAAGACGGCTCTGTGCATTAGTGACTAGAGTAAACGAAGGTTACGAAGCGTTCGTCAGTGAATAGTTCTTCTGGGCGTCAACAAATGACGAAAGCGCAGCTTGGAATTGCCACTACTCGGAGTCAAATGACGAAGCTAAAATAAGACTTACAAGCATTATCCGTCGGTGCAAAGACTGTCACGTTCTGACCTGAGAGGAGCGTACTGAACAGCGCTGAACCGGTGGGCGTGTTGTTCACGCTCACTGCTGCTTGAGCGAGTGAAGTGAGACCAGCGCTGTTCAACGCTTGTACGATGGCATTGGCATCTAACTGCGCTAGAGATACAGGCAGTAAGGCGGCGGCGGCGGCAGCTACTAGAGTGAAGGATGGAGAACGCATCGTGAGTTGGACTTCGGATGGGTGTTTCGAACTTCGAAGAGAGGCCTTTTTATAGGACTGGAGACATCACGCAAGGCTTGGTAATCACAGCCATTCGAATGTCTTAGACCATCCAAAGACGGAAGTGAGGACGAGATGTATGATGCTCGAACGGAAAACGATCGAATCCATTCAATTGCTCATGTGACCGTGCTCTGCCCAGCCAGCGGGATGATGTCATCCACCTCATGTCAAAACCAATTTATTCACCAACTGTCCTCATTCATCGATGCATCCACATTTTTTTTTGAGTACACGATCGCCTGCAGCGCCCTTTTTTCCCATAAATTGCTGCCTTTGAACCTCAGGAAATAATACAAAACTGATGTGGTACGACTGGTAAAACATACTCGAATGATAGCTATCGACAGATCCTTTGCATATTGCACGCGTCCAATTGGCTTTATTTTCACACATATTCTGCTTAGCCCTTCGATGAAGCACCTCCATCGTACTTTTTTTACTCCGCGGAGGGAGGTGACACTGCATGCACAATCCAGCATTACCCGGCCATCTCGGCCGTCTCTTCGAGTCCCATTCGCTTACACATGTACTATAGTGATAGAATCGCTCGCTTTACAGCAAGTTGCAGGACGATATGTGGTTTTACAAAATTCCTCCACTCAAGCCGAGATCGAAATCCACATACGACAATGGTTCATTGGCACATTGAAATCAAGCAACTTGTGATTATAATCCCTCAAATGTAAGAGAATTGACTGGAGTGAGTGAACGCATATGGTTCAGGTAAGTGTGCCACAGAGGAATGGCCGACCCCGTCTTATAAATGGACTAGAGGTCGCTGTGGGCATCTTTCTTCGCCATCAGTTTCTCGAAAAATGTGCGGAAGATACACCGGACATTCTGTATCCCAAATATCTGACACAAATTCACGGAGATCAAAATCCACATACGACAATGGTTCATTGGCACATTGAGATCAAGTAACTCGATCTTCGCCTGAGCTTCCGGAATGATTATAATCTCTCAAATGTAAGGGAAGTGAGTGAACGCGCACATTTTAGGTAAGTGTGCCACAGAGGAATGGCTGACCCCGTCTTATGGACTAGAGGTCGTTGTGGGCATCTTTCTTCCCCATCAGTTTCTCGAAGGATGTGTGGAACATACACCGGACATTACTTTCGTAGAGCTGCAGGTCCCAGAAAACTACTACTAAGATTATTACAAGCTCGAGTGGAGTAATTTATAGGACTGCCTAGTATCGTTTTTGCAACTTGCTGTATCCCAAGTATCCGCTTACACCTGCTCCATCAATCCAGACGGCTAACGACAGCGTCACAAATTCACTCCGAATCGCACATTTCTTAACAAGAGCCTTTGACTTCTATTTTTTTTGCTCTTACTTCGCCTCATCGACTAAACCAGCTATAGATCCCTGTATCTTCGAGAATAAATCCCTGTCTGGATTGGTTTAAGGCACGAGGCCTTAGCAAGGCTAGTACAAAGCACCATAGCTTCATCGAACATTTCCATTAGACCTCATCTGCAACGAGAATTTTGGCCGGGTTTATTTAGTCGAAAATGACCCATTTTTCCGAGTCTTTATGACGTCGTCCAACTGAGCTTTACCCTGTATGGTTCTCACTAGGAAAAGGGCCGACTGTGTCGGCAGAGACCTTGCTCGTAGTAGCAGCACTGTACTGCAACTGTAGTATAGGAATTTGAGCTCCAAAAGCTCGACTCGGTGGCTAGTTGAAGCAATAAGTTGCATGCAGAAAGTTAAATCAGTCGCAAGGCAATGGCTACTTTGTACTTGTGTACTCAGAATACCGGGCCACCTGGCGGCCCATTATTGACAGAGACCTTGCGAGCAAGGTAATCTGTAGTGGATTTCCCTTTTTTTGAGTGGACCTTCAAAAACTTTCTCGTTGCAGGTAAGGTCTATTGACTAGAATTGGATGGCCTTCTTTGGTTTCGATGGAGTGAGCGCCTTGCCCTTGACCATCATCGTGGCTATCATAGTTTCTGGCTCAACATACAGTTCCGATTCATTCAGACTTGTGTCATTATTTAGAAGGTCGTCTTTGTTTCGATGTCGTGACGCATGTTGTCCTTATTCCTGACCATCATCGTGGTTGTGACAGTTTCCAGATCAATGTACAGCTCTGATTCATTCAGACAGTAGATAAGGCGCCGGCTCTCGTAAGACATACTTTTTTTAAGTTCATGAGGGACTTCTCAGAGCGTCTATCTGTCAACACACACGCACACATATATACTTAACTGCAAACCAAACTTCCTCGACCATGTCCTCCAACGAACGCTCTTCTCCTCCCCCCAGCTACGGATCCGACTTCTCCAGTGGTGGGACGAATCTCGGCCAGTTCGATAGAACAATCATCGGTGGAAATCAGAACCATGACCACCGCGGTTGGTCAAGCGATATGATTCATCACGATTCTCGAAGGATTGGGACTATCAATGGGAGATATACTGAGAACGATAATCGACGAATTCATCGTAACGTCGAGAACGCTCAAACTTACTATGAAGATAATTCCGGATGGAGTTGAGTGTTTAACCTTCTTGTTTTTGGAATATTTTTTCATTCAAAAATCTCCGGCTGCCCTTTTTTTGCCATTTTTCATCTGGAAAAAAAAAAAAAGATCATTACTCTGAAGATGCAAGAGTGACTACGGCTGCCCAGCAGAGACCTGCATCAAACCAAACCGCACAGTCAAATCGTCCACGCGAGAACCACAACTCCCCCGGCGCTGTAAAAGTAAATATTGTCATTTAGCCCTCACACACACACACCGTCGTCTCCTTGCTCACAAGTGAGCTCCCACAGTTTGACGTCTGCTTATTGATGTCTCTTTTGTTCTTGACATGGTCTGTCGGCATCTACTACTGGCTTTTCTTGCGGTGATTGGCACTCCGAGTCGAAGGTGAACCACCGCGGTCGTGGTAGAAAGTGCTCAATGGTTTTCTTGGGTTGTATATAGCTGATGTTACCGGCTTTATTAATTATCTTTATGCATATGTCATTTGTCACTAGAACCCTCGTCCCAACACTCTTCTCCTCCCTGTTCCATTATTTAGACACCTTTAAATTTTTTTAAAAGAGAGATAATCTGCAGAGACTGGCGGATACTTATGTCTTCTAGGGAGAATATGCAGGTCGAATGATGGAATCGACTAGATCCTTTCAAACACGTCAACCCTCAGCAATGTCTGCGCTTCGTTTGAACGGACAAAACTCTTTCAGAGTAGTGATGGAGAGAGATGTGTGACGATATACCTCGACCTTGTTAAGTGCCCTGTGGGTATGATATGATATATATCTCATCGACCGAATGGTACGTCTCGTTAACCGGTAGCATTAAGTATCAAGTGAGGATATATTTTTATTGGGTGAGCGAAGCGAACACATTATTGGTATGGGGCCCCAAAAGTTGTTGCACCGCCACTGTCGGGTGTATAGCCCAGTTTGGTCAGGTGGTCTTGCCTGATACTCTTCGCTCACCCACCGGGGCCATAATGCATTTAGGGACGGTCACACGGGAACCAAAGGACCTCAATGCAAAACATATTCACAGATTTAAAATGGCCTCCCAAAAATATCGAAATACTTAAGTGCTGGAATAGAGATTATGAAGTCAAGTGGGCCACTGCAAGTACGAGGCCTTTGCCATGGAACGGTTCGACGGAGGCCAGGCCGCCAGGGAAGTCAGAAGCTTTTGATCCAAACAAGACCACACTAGCAATGACTCTTGGACTGGTGATAAAGGTCTTGACAAACAAGACCACATCGGTGACCGACCGAGGCAAAAACTTTCGTGTAAAGACGATTCCTCGTAATGTTTCAACAGCAAATAAACGAAGCTTCCTTCCTTTTGGTATGCAAAGCAAACTTGGACACTCCATGTTGGAGTACATGATCGCCCTTTTTGTCGACTGTCAATTGCTGCTCTTGAACCTCCGGCCTCAGGCCTCAGGAAGTGATACACTGGCAGAACCGGTGTGGTACGTCTGGTGCATGTAGAGCATACTCGAATGATAGATCCTTCGATGTTGCATGCGTCCAATTGGCTTTATTTTCACACATATTTTGCTTAAGCCCTTCTGCTTAGCCCTTCGATGAAGCACCTCCATCGTGTTTTTTTACTCCGGGAGGCACCGCCTGCACAATACAGCATTACCCGGCCATCTTGGCGTCTTTCCAAGTCCCATTCGCTCGTCTGACTCTTTAGCCCCCAGATAGACTCGTGGAAAGATTAAACGAAACATCGAAATGGGAATGCACTGCATACTCTTACTGCATACTCTTCTTATTTAAATACCTAGAAAAGGATCTTGATGCATTGTTCTCGGTGCAGGCACTCTCTCCTACCAAATTAGGTACTTACTTTGCATCCTAAAGGGAAGGAAACCTCGTTTATTTGCCGCCGTTGGATATGCTTTCTATCTCAGCATTTGTTTCGCAAACTTTAATATTTCTAATTTATAGAGGGTTCATCTGGGTTCATGCTAAATCTGTTTCAAAATGGTTCTAGAACATACTCTCATTTTCCGCTACCAGCCAACCATCGATCGACGAAGTATTACTTGACATCCATTCCAGAGTCGGAATCACTGATAGAAATTTTTATGACTTCCATTCTCCCGTTGCAAATAGGGTCTAATCAGTGATAAACGCAGGTGACTTGTGTAGAGAGGTCTATTCTTTAGCATCATTATTATCTTGCGTTCTACAACGCATGAAGGCAGGTGGTAACAAGACAGTTGAAATTGACTGATGGTTCACCGAGAGAAAACATAAGAAACGGTTAGCAAGGATACCCACGGCGCTAAGACTTTTTCTTTACCCAGGACTACTGATGAAGTTGAAGTGAGCCATCGCTGCGCGTGGCAGATACGAGGCCGGGTTTTCGACTGCTGTAAGTTTGAGATCTAAATGGGGATGGCACACGATTTCGACTGCGAGCTCAAGTTTAGTAAGGACTCCTCCATCGTAAACTCCGGCCTCGTAATAGAGCTGGTCAATAGCATGAGTTCTTTCTCATCCCAGATGAATGGACTCTTCTCCGGACTGATAGTGAGCAAAAACCTATTTTGTATCGATGCGTATATGGCCCGGGTTTATAATTAACGATAGCATATCTTTTAGTACCTTATCATTCGTCCTCATCACTGAATCAGACTGATCACGAAGTATCTTCATTGCAAGAAAAGCAGGTTGGCATAACTATCTAAACACATCAATCTCTCCTCTCCGGCCGGCACTACACGTACATGTACTATGTATAACTAATACTATCTATTCAAATCGAGTCCATCGATGTCTCCGATGGACCTATCACTGCCACTATTAGTCTAGTTATGACGAACCATTTTCATTTGAATTGACTCAATGAAAAGTGACTGAATCCCTATTCTATCATCTCGTTCTATCTATGCGCGGACGGCTTCCTCGATTCAAGTCCGGACAGTGCTAATCATATTCATTTAGACACATATCCGTTATCTGTAAATAGAGTGAATGGTGGATGTGCTCGGTTTGATTTGATTTGATATAGAATAGCTTGGTGCTAGATCTACTATTAGCTTTGAATAAGAAAGCCACCTCGTTAGGTCATTGTTGATGAAAGTGTTCAAGCCGCGTACGACTCAATTTCACACTGAACTACATATTTGTGAGGAAAACGCGCAGACAGTGATATCTGACTATACAGATATCTCCAGTACCAGCTGAGCAACCCCATACAGCTGAAGTAGACGTAAGTGGCCACTTAAGTGCTCCGAGTCATCGAATGTTCCTTCATTTACAGTTCCGGGAGATTGGAAGGTTACTATAATGATATGTTGCAAAGTTATGAATACTAGTGCTTCCGACATACCCTCCAATATATCATGATGTAGTAACTATGGTGCCATAACTATCTAGAACCAGTTCAGTTCGACGAGAGTCGGACTCCGAGTTATGAGTTGTAACAACTCCTGCTTTTTTTTGGTTCAGATTCTCCAGTCGGCCCATACACCAAAGGTAAGTAAAGTATCCCGAGCAGTCGCATTCTCGGCTTAGCGGTATTCGAGATTAGCGGTATTCGAGATTATTTGTCACTTTCAGTATATAGATATGTGCATTGGTTCTCGCCAGGAACGCAGATTGCAACATGTGCAACCACACCCCCTCTCTCCATAACCTTAATGAACGGAAGCTGGCACGAAGCAGCTGGGTAAACAATACCGATCAATACTCTGCTTCCTAATACCAGGAAGCATCTGCACCTGACAATGACAATTCTCTTGTAAACTTCTAATCAGTGGAACTACACGAGGTTGACTTGTCGAGGTTCTACGGTTCATATCTTGTTTTACTTCCAGCTTTTCATAGAATGATTCGTTATCGCAGATCTCTGAGAGCCTCAGGGCTCGGAAATGAAGTCTTGAGGTTCATATCGCACTTGGAGCCGTTCCGTTTACAAATATTTTTACTTACTTTTGCCCTTTTCTCTCTGCACCGCGTGAGATCCAGAGTGATGTTCCGTAGTTGGGAAGGATCAGTACATATATGGTGAGTAATGGGTATACTCACCATCTGCACCCCCGATCTATTTCCTTTGGGTTCGCATAGACTAAAATTACTGAGTAGATTTAGTCAGAACTACCCGAAACATCATACAATCAATCCTCTTTAAAATACCTTCGCAACCGGTGATAATCCCTACGTTTACTTGCGAGAAAAAAGAGACGATGAAATTAACATGGACACTGTGAGGATTGAACTCACGACCTCATGCAATGACACTACACTCCCTATGCGAAGCATGCGCGCTACCACTGTGCCAAGTGCCCGAAAATTCATCATCCTGTCCAACGCCAAATTCTCTACTAAAGCAATTCTATAGATAAGTATGCCGTTTTGGCATAATTCGTTTTTCTTTTGCGACCTCGAGACCACAATGGCCCTGGATGCAAGTACTTAAACAGTATCGATACTTCAACGAAAGCAATGGGGATGCGAAGAATTAGGAGGGTATCATATATATGGCTACGAAAGGAATGATATCCCATGCAATGGCAATGACTCAGGGTGAGTTGAGTTTTAAGTTTAATTCGCGTGCCACAGGCTTCAAAAGTTCTTTTTCTGTCTAAAACGGTCTAGAAAATATGACATCAAAAAGATGATTGACACGTTTGGATCTAGTAAGTGTTCGTATACAACATAAGTACTAACTAGCGTCGAGCGTAAATTGACGTGTGCTATGGCTAAGTAATTGTAAAATGATAAGCAAAACATATGTCATCGTGTAGTGTATAAGTATGTCTATATGAGAATATACTTGCTATTGAAACGGCTCCTAATAAAAGCGATTGTTGATCACGACGTGGGATTAGTATGATACTACCACGATAATCCAAGTGACAAACATAGAAATGTTGATTCTGAGCTAGTCACTTTAAGAAAAGAAAAGGACTTGGTGTGGTAAGAAGTAGAAATTGAGTAGAGGGCCACACGGAAACTTTTAGGAACTCGAGTCACCTCAATTAGCCGAAAAGTGGAACAGTTGCTTGCGTTTAATGGGTCTCCAATAAAGAGAACTAGTACTGCGTAGGAAACTCATTGATAAGCAAAATACACAAAAAAAAACCATATGTCAATTTAGTGCATACCTTGTGGCTGGTAAGTTCTGTCGAAGTAACCATTTCTCCGAAGCTATGCATGTACATTTCAAGACATTTCAAGATTTGACCGATCATTTTTATTCTATACAGAACCAATCTCTCTGTGTTACACTCGCGTGTTTCTGCAAACTTTACATAAATAAGTTTCTCTATACGCTTTTTGACTGTTTGTTAGGTTGGAAGAGTGAAGCCATCAACTTACTTGGAATGACCCGGTTCAATTCGACTATCTGAGATGAATACCTGACTCGACATCACGAACGCAACACTTACAGAGTTTTTCTCTCAAACAAGTGATGTAAGGTCGCATGGCCATGTGGGAGTGACAACACCTGTGAAGACCACCGTTTACAAAAGAGACTGACAGAGAAAGTTCAATAGCATGGGTGTCTTGGATGGTTTCTCCCAAAAGTGGCCGTGCAAACCTAGGTCTATTCATTTTGACTGATAATTTACCTGCGCGCGCCCACCTTTTCATTTGTGTCGAATCTCGGAGACATTGCCAAGTTGACACGTTCGAGCAACATTACGTGTGCGATGCCATTAAGTTATAGCTCCTAGACTAAGTTTGCGTTAGAGTTCATGAGAGTCGGTCAATAGCACTGTTATTGGTGTCCCTTTTACGGCTGATGATCAACGAAGAATCGCTGTCACGATGACTTGACCTAAGCAATGGCCATCTTGAAGAACTTGCTTGAAAGCGACTTTTTTGAAGAAATGAACTTCTCTGAAGGACAGGTGTCACGCAGACTGCAGTTGCTAGAGGTACCGGTGTAAGCTAAGGACAACGTTAACATTCTTTGTCACTTTTCTGGTAGCACTCACACCGAGCACAGCCTAGCTTTTGGGGATACTCACCTGCTGACATATTTTCTGGAAGTCTGATCCATCAACGTATCAAGCTTGCATCAAGGTTCATCGACATCACAGGTCACTTACCACTTCACGTTCTCTAGCTCCGAGGCCCTGCCTTCATACTAACCCTGGTACCATCTAAGTCCTAGTGGATCTGCGTCTGCTGGTACCGGTAAGTGTCGAGGGTAGCTGGAAGGAGGAGACAAAAGCCCGAGTCTCCTTGCCGTCACTGCACCTGATCGTGGATCATTAAAAACCCTTGTAGATGGAAGGAAGAAAAGGGACTCAGGAACTCTTAACGTTCGCGGGCCGAAGAGAACACTGAACGATGATGGCATGGACGCGTCATGTCAGTCTACATGTGCAGATCAGCGTAATACCGAACTCGCAACGAACCACTACTGACTGACTCGCCTCGAAAGGCGTTGATATCTCGAGATCTGAAAAGAAGAACTTAGCCCCGACGGAATGCGAGAGTTTTTTGGGGGGAGATTGGGACCACTGCGAGTACGTACAGATGTAGTAAACGTCCGTGTCCCGTGGGTGCCCAGCTCACAGAACAACGGCTAAACGGACTTTTTGGAACCACTCCTCTCTATCAGGGTGCTGAGGAAGTAAAGGGTCTTTGGGTCATGGCCTCTCGGTGTTCATCGTCAAGCTTCGTCAAGCCGCTTCACATTCAGGGCCTTTCAAGATAGGACATTCAGGGACCCCTTCTTGCTTAGTGGAGAAAGAACTTTGAGAAGAGATCAAAAGATCCAGAAGGTGCGGCCATTACTTATGTTGACATGCGGTCTTTGAAGGGGGGTCAAAGCGGTTTTCCCTTCTGTCAAACAACCAATGTCAATCCGACAGATGAAGACGGACACAAGCAAGTCAGTAGCTCATTCTGCCTGAAATGAAAGACTTGAACCGCTGAGTCGGTGAGTGAGCCCGGTGAGTGAGGCCTAGTTCTCGTTCTCTGATCAACATCAACATGTGGGGGCTCTCGGGTTCTCATCCGAGTCCCTCTGACTTCCCGTTCGAAGCTGCTTTGTATGATCCGAATCTGCTCATTGCGGTCTACAAGACAAATGATCTTTTCCATTCTGCTTCCGGGCTTCAAATGTCCGCGCTTCCTCCTCTCCCCAAGCAATGGGAACTTGGTCATCCTCTTCAAGAGCACTCTCACGATCATATAAACACATACTGACACATTACTAGAGGAGGAGGAGGAGGAGGAACCGGCACCGGAGTAGCAGACCTGAAAGACTCCTTTAAAACCTTGACCGTCCCCGAATGCGGGGCCACAAATTTTGATAGGTACAACGCAATTTAATCTGCTATTTCAAGTATCTCAATACGAATGCCCTCGAGAGGCTTGGTAGTTGCAAGGTATTGAATGTACTGAATAAGATTTCGAGTTATTCAAATGATCCATCTACATAGGTGGCCGTGCGTCAATAAAAACCATACGTCGGTGGTTCATGATAGCCTAAGAACTCGAATTTCATATTCGGTCTTTCAAAAGTTTCTATGTAGTACTTTGGCACCTTATATACATATGTATGTTTGATTTATTTACAGTTTTTCATTGAGTAGTAGGTTCCTCGAAAGTCAATCATCAAATCGATTGAAAAAACTCAATAACCCACCATAGAATTGGATTCATTGACCCATAATAGCCTATGTATGTATGAAATACCGGCGGGTTACATTTATGTCAATAAATGTTAAGCTCTGTATGTACTCTATATAGATTCTACTGTATGGATATGTACTTATTTAAATGTGTATACATAGTTTTAATAGTTCAATAGTGATAGGATGTATATACTTCCACACATTCCAGCCCAGTTCGAGTTCGATTCCGGACTGAGTTAACGTCTAAAAGAGAACGACTTCCGGGGGCGGGGCGGGATCATCAAGGGGGAGAATATAGAATTCATTCATTACTTTTAGGCTTAACATACATTCTATAAGTAACATACTGCGAAAGATATACCGCGACACGCACACACGCACACGCCAGAGGCTTTCGGTTTGGATTTTTAAATAAACACACTGGCAAGGTTGGATATACGTATTAGATACGAGCCGAATTGGAGTTTTGTGAAATTCGTGGATGAACACTTTCCTTTTTTTCCTTCCTTCTTCCTATACAAAGATTTTAGACCACGCGCGCGCCATGCATACATTTTTGAGTTAAGTGAACTGGGTGGAAAAAAAGGGAGATACGAAAATGCCGAGTCGTTGATTGGAGGCGTTAAGTTTAGCTCGATGACCCGGCCGAGAGAGTGCGAGACAGCCTGCTACTTACTTGGCCTCGTTTGATGTGTTTGTGTTGTTAGTTGGTGAGCATGTGTCAAGGGTTGATTAGCAGATTGAAGGAAATGCTACATATGTGGCCCGTGGGTATTGAGTTTGACGGGGCTTTTGATGATGCACATGCATGCATGTTCTGTGGAGATTTGAACCTCGCCACTTATGTGTAAACTGCACCTCTGGAGATACAGGTGGAAAAAAGAATTGTCGGTCATAATCCTGGATTTTCTGACGATACCTTCAACGCATGCTACTCAGACTCGCGTTGGTGCCAACTTTGCTACAAGTTGCTTTGAGAGACAAAGAACCAAACCAATTAGAAGTTTCAGTCAATCAGTCCAATCTACCTAAACAACCCGGACCGCGAAGCGCTGAGTTGTCGTGATCAATGATTAGCTACTTATAGTTTCCAATTATGTTTTTTTGCATGGGGGCATTTAGCATATGATGAAGTAAAGCCTACTGGCTGAGTTGTCGAGTGATTCCCGGCACATGGGCCAAAAGTTCGAATCTCAAATTAAAAATATATGAGCGCTTAGAGTCGACGAGACTTGGGCCAATAAACGCATACACAGATGCTCAACGAATAGATGTAAATCATAGATTTATTATTACAAAGGTAACGAGACTCCATCGAACACGAAAAGACTCCAATGCGCCCTTGAGTCGGTGGTTTTTCCCTTGAAATTTCATCTGCTCTCTTTTCCTTCCCTGTGATCTCGGCGTTTGATTCTAGAGGGATTACGATACATTACATCCAAGAGTTTTTCCTCAACTTTAAGCTTGCGGTGAGAATTTGGACTTTACTTGGCTGCATCGACTGTCAAGGTGATATACACCTTTGGTATCGACGCGGTGACGTCTAAGGTACTTGGATATGTAACCGTTTTATCGATATCGTTGCCAGAAGTTCAATTGTGTTAACAGCAGCTCATTAGTCGGCAACTTTACTGTTTACATGGCAATTGTCCCAGTCCCCAATGAAGTTCCAACTATAGAACTTCGCCGCC